TCCTGACCTAGCAGAGCCTCCAGCATACACCTCCTGCCTCCCCACACTTGTTGCCCGTCAGCCACCCGGCGTGTCCTGGGACGCAGCCAAGCCAGGGGCCAGAACCTCCCCAGCTATAACCAGGGGTCCCTCACTCCCGTGTCTTTGTTCTTGCTCTTCCCACCGGCAATTCTTTTCCTCATCCTTCCCTGTCAAGGTCCTCCTGACACCCTTAGGCTAATTTTGTTTAAAGATTTTATCCATTTATTTGCGAGAGAGAGAGAGAGAGAGCACGAGCAGGGGGAGGGGCAGAAGGCAGAGGGAGAAGCAGACTCCCCGCTGAGCAGGGAGCCCGATGTGGGGCTCGATCCCAGGACCCTGGGATCATGACCTGAGCCGAAGGCAGACGCTTCACCCGACGGAGCCCCCCAGGCGCCCCCCCTTTAGGTTAATTTTAGAAAAAGTTTCGACTGTGTTTTCTGTAAGCGATAAAAGTAACACACGCACACGGTATGAAATGAAAAGCAAGCGTCTGTCCCTCCTCTCCACTACCCCCCACGCAGGGTCAGCCCACGCATGCCCTTCCAGAATGTGTTTGTGGATCTACCAGCAAATACACGGACGTTCTCTTTAAACGTAGGTAAATGGAGTTACGTTAAACACGCACCTTGCTGTTTTTCACTTCATGTATCCTGGATGTATTCCTCATCAGCACACAGAGTTGCCTAACTGCTTTTAACAGCTGTGTAACATGACCACAAACTATACCCCTGGTCTATTCGACGCCCTTCCGCCCTCTGGCTGCACAGGCGTCTGGAGTTGCAGCCAAGGCTCCGCTCAGCGTCCCTGCACCTACATCGCTGGGCAGGGTGCTCTGTTTCTAGGGGACAAATCCCTGACGGTTATCAGCACCATGAGTCCCTCTCCTCCTGGGGGCTCCTATGGTTTTCCTGGCGTTCCTGGGCTGACCCCATGGCTCAGGTATCTGGAGCGTTTGCTAGAGTCTAAAGTCAGATTGTGACTTGCCTCAAACCCCAGCTTCTCCACTGCATCTCCCTCTGCCTCAGTCTTCTCATCCCTAAAATGGAGAGGATCACAGTGGTACTATTTCTGAGTTGTCCCAAGAGTTGAGATAACACAGTACAGCCCTTCGATCAGGCTGCCCTCATCCTTCCCCTTACAGCCCCTGTGTATTTCCACCTCAGTGCTACCGAGCCCCAGCTCTTTGCACACAGGCCCTGGTCTTGTTCCCCTCTGTGCCCACAGCCCCCAGGCATGTGGTGCGTGCACAGTAATCCGCCCTTGCATTTGCTACTGGGGAGCAACCCTCCAGCCTTGGCCCTTTCCCCACCCCCAAGGCCTGGGGGATGGGGACGAGGAGGGATGCCTTCCTCTGGATAATCCCCAGCGGTCAGGAGCCCCTCCTCCTCTTTTCACTTCTTAACCTCCCCCCTCCCCCATCCCACTTAGGAGCTCTGTAAGGGACCAGGGTCTTGGCTGTCCCCTGAGACCCACAGGACTGCCCGATTCTGGTCCCACACGTCCAGACCCCCTCCCCCGCCAGCAGAGCCTCCCTTCAAACTCTGCTCCTCCCGGCAAAGCTGGTAGGGCAAGATAAGCGCCTTCAGGGCTGAGAAAGGGGCCTGCAGACCTTGGAGTTCCTCCCAGCTCCCCTGACCACAGTTTTGTCTAGGCCTAAGGAAGAGGCTAGGCCAAGTCCTCTCCCTGCTAAGGAGGAAGAAGGGTCCACCTGGGGAGACAGACTCGGGCCAAGGGGCCAGGAGGGCAGAAGGACAGAGCAGCCCAGGGCTCGCAGGGGCTCGCGGGCGCACCACACCCGGCACCCACCCAGCCCACACCCCACCCTGGAGGGAATCGGGAGGGTCCTGTCAATGCCTTTAGGAGGGGGGGAGGCTCACCAATTTTGGCCCCGCCCACAGGGCTGTTGCAGGTGGGACCCCACAAGTATGGGTGCCCAGGGGGCGAGGGAGAGCAACCCCCTGGGGAGCCGCTGAGCTAGGAAGATCAGGAACCAGAGGCCAGCTCCTCTGGGCTGAGAGGGCGCAGAAATTGGCTCAGAACTGATGAGAAATGGGGTCCTAGTGTGACAACAGGAACAGTAGTATCGTAGTATTGACAGTAACCGTAGCACATGCCAGGTGCCCCTCCCCCCCCCGTGGCTCTTCTTACCAGAGGCAGGGCCTATCATGACCCCCATTTACAGAGGAGGAAGCCAAGGCTCAGGGAGGTTGCAGGATTTGTCCAAGGCCACACAGATAGCCAGAGGCAGGGTCAGGATCTGAACTTAGGTCCTCTGGCTGTCGGCCCCCACCCTTGTGATAATAACCCCACTAGTTAACACTTGGTGATGCAGCCTTTCACAGGTTCTGTTCGCTGCATCCCCACTGCCAACCACGTGAGAAGGCCAGGAAGGCTTTGCGACTTTGCAAATTAAGAACAGGGTCAGAGGGGCTAGGGCCTGGACCGAGGCCACCCTGTCCTCGAGGCTGGGCCCGCCGAATCTCCAGATCCTGAGCGCTTTCCTCCCCTGCTGCAGGCGCCCGTGTGAGCCAAGGTTCGGCCCCATCAGGAAGGTTGTGTTTCGCCGGGCCAGAGACAACGTGAGTTTTCATTGGGTGGCCCTAAAGGAGATTGCTGTGACTCCTCCAGAGACCCCGGCCACCCATGCAGGCACCCAGCGCGGGCTTCTCCCAGGGACCAGCACTCCTGGCCCTGGCGGCGGGCGGATAGGGGCGGGGGAAATTGAGCAAGACCCGGCTTAGGAGGGCGCCTCCGCCCCCAGGAGAATGAGGAGGGCCGAGATCAGAGGCTTCCCCGAGGCGGGAGCTGCAATGGGATTTGGAGTAACTGAGATGCTCCAAATGCTTTACAACGAAAAGGTAAAGAGCTAAAGGCTCGAGGAACAGGCCCACTTGGCCTTAGAATGAGGGAGCTGGCGGGAGCGGATGGGAGGTGGTCGTCGTCGGAGTGACTTTTCTCGGGGGGTGGGGGGGTGACGTGACGGCAGTGCAGACCTAGATCATGCGCTTTCTCCGGGAAGGAGAGGACGGCGCCCGGAAGAGACCAGCTCAGGCGGAAAAGAGGGTTCTGCCCAGACCGGCACCCCCCCTCCCCAGGGGGCGGAGCACCCAGCAACCCGCGCAAGTCCAGGGCGCCGCGGGGTGGGCCGCGGCTTCCCGCACCGACCTGAGCCCTGGCCCCGCCCCTCGCCCCCCGGGCCCGCCCCGGGTCCGCCCCCGGCCCCGCCCGGCCGGCCCCGCCCCGCCCCCACGGCCCGCGCGCAGGTAGGGAAGAGGCGGAGCGCCGGGGCCCCGCCCCCAGGAGCCACCGCCCAGCCGCTGGCCCGCGCCGCTCGGAGCTGCGTCCAGGGGACGTGGGGCCGCAGGGAGGTGAGCGCGGGGCAAAGGGCGGAGCCCGGCACGCGGCGGCCGGGCCGCAGGCGCCGTAGGGGTCCGCGGGGTCGGGCCCGAGCCTCGCCCGGGGCGGCGGTGCGCGGCCCGCGAGGGTGCCCGCCCTGCTGGAGCGCTCGGGCCCCACGTGGGGCGCGCCGGAGGCCAGGGGTCGGGGCTGGACCGGGTCTGCCGGTCCCTGGGGCTCGGCTGGGACAAGACCCCTTGGCCACGGGCCACCAGATGTGGGAAGGGCACGACGATTGGGCAGAAGTTTAAGGCCCCGGGAGGAAGAGAGGGGACTGGCAGGGGCCAGGACCGCGCAGTCCCGCCTTCCTCCCAGAAGCGCCTGGAACTCAGACCCTTCCCTCCCCTTTCAGCTCCGAAGCGAAGTTTGTGCTTTCAGCTTCGCCAGGTGGAAACAGGTGCGAGGGAGTGGAGTCACAGCAAGGCTAGATCGAAGCTCAGAGATTGGACCCAGAAGTCCTGGCTTCTGGACTGTGAGGGGCTTGGGAAGGTTGGCCCCCTCTGATGTTCCTGCAGGGCCTTGGGTTAGGTTAGGGTTAGAAAGGGTTATGCCTGCTAGACGCACCCTCCCATCCCAGGGCAGAGGGGAAGCCGAGGTCTCAGCCCCTGCCTAACCCGGTGAGTCTAAGTGGAGAGAGCCGAAGGGTTGGAGCTCCTGAGAGGGTGTGTCTGAGCGGGGGAAGGCTTGCCAAAGACCCCACATGTGCACTGGCTGCTGGCTCCCAAGTGGCTAGATTTAGGACCCCATGTTGGTGACATTGGCTGTTAAAAAGGCTGAGCCCAGCGTCTGTGTTCCTGTTCACTCTTTAGGTAGGGCAGAGGGAAGAGTGGAGAGTGAAGCTTGTTTTAGAGCAGTAGGAGGTTCTCAAGCAGGGCACTGATTTTTGGTGCCAGGAGATATTTGACAATGGAGACATTTTGGTTGTCACAACTCAGGAGAAGGAGGGGAGTGCTGTAGTTATTGGCATCCAGTGGGTCCAGGCCAGGGATGCTGCTAAAACATCTTAGAGCGCACAGGCGGGCTTCCCACCACAAAGAATTACCCGGCTCAAAATGTGGGCGCTGTGCTGAGGTTCAAAGACCCTGGGGCCGCACCTGCTCCATCAGGTTACTTCTCATTGACTGCCCCCTGCTTGCCTCAGTTTCCCCAGGAGTTAGGGGAGGAACAAAATAGGCTTAAATGAGATAAGAGGTGTGAGGACAGTTATTCCCCCAGCGACAGCCTTCTTCTGGTGTCATAAACCTGCCTCTTCCCTGCTCAAACCACAGTCTCTGCAGAAAGCAGGTCTGGGTGCTGTGGGGGGAGGAGCTGAGTCCCAGGGGCTGGGAACAGGGCCCTCTCACAGCTCAGTCCTGGAGTCCCTCACCCTTAAGGCAGCCTCCCATGCAGGGTGAGCCAGGGCAGCCCTGGAGCTCAAATATCCCCCTGGGCGGGGGAGGAAGGGGGGAGTTCTGTTCTCATAGATTTTCCCAAAGCTGGATTGCTGAAACAGGCATGGACGCCTGGTGCCATGTGACCTCCTGGAATTTTCCCTTCTAAACTGACACCTAACTCTTCCAGTTATGTACACCAGGAAAATAACATCCAAGGACTAACAGGTTTTTAATTCCCTGTGGCTCCCCTAATCTGCTTCCCTCCCGCAAAAAAAAAAAAAGAAAGGTCCTCTGTGGCTGTGGGAACCTGGGTTAGACAAGAGGCCCCAGGGTGGGCCCTGCTGCTGGCAGTGCGAGGCACCCCATGCTCCTGGTGTTAGCCAAGCGCCAGGCCAGGGGGACCCCAGTAGGGACGACTCCGGTTTGAGTTGGGCTCAGGAACATTGGCCCAGCTCTCGGGGGATGGAGGTGAGGGGGCTGTTCTAGAAGGGTGGGATGGAGTGAAGCAGCTGTCCGTCCCCAGGAGCCCAGGCCACCCGCTGCCCTCCCTTCCTGTTTTCTGACAGTGTCCGTTGCTCCCATCCTGTTCACTTCTGGACCCCGGCCTCCTGGCCTGGGAACGATAGCAGGACAGAAGGAGAGCAGGTGGTAGTTTCTGGTTGGTTTTTCTGGTTTTGTTTTTGTTTGCTTTTAACTTTAAAGGGCTGGAGTGACACTCCCGTCTTTTTGTTGAACAGAAAACTGTGGCCCGTCTTCAGTGTGTCTCTCATGGCACAAAGCAGCAGAGCCTGATACTGAACCTGGGCTGTCATTCCCAGGCCCGACCCCAAAACCTCGTGCCTACCTGCTGCTAAGCCACCAGCTGACTCCTATCTGGCTCGCTCATGTGCGAGCTACAGCTGTACATGGTGTGACACACACACACACACTCTCTCTCTCTCTTTCTGCCCAGGAGGGGACTTCTGTTCTTCTCGCAGGAGGGATTAGTCACACCACAAATACATCATGGAGGCCCCTGGGGTCTGGGTCTGGCTCTTCCTCAGTGGTGGTGTTTTTACTGGTGGCCAGACTCTTCACGGGGTTCCTGTCAACCATGCTAGATGAGAGAGCAGATAAGGACAGGAAGAAGTCAAGGGGGTGTGTCTGTGCGTGCACGTACCTGTTCGTGTCCAGGTGACTTGAACGAGGGTGCCTGGCTGGCTCAGGAGGGCATGTGACTCGATCTTGGGGTCATAAGTTTGAGCCCCATATTGGGTATACAGATTACTTAAATAAGACTTAAAAAAAAAAAATCCTGAAACAAAAACAGGTGACTTGAATGAGCCACCTGGCACTTCTAATTGGTTCAGAATGAGTGGTGGCAATATTGGGGTGGCCCCAGCGTCCTGCCTGCCCCGTGGTGCAGCATCTGGGGAGATGAACTCTCTGGGCTTCCTCCCCCAACTCCACACGTCCCTTCGGGTCTGAACCACCCACTTTGGAGCAGTCTTCGGTCTTCGTGTCGTCCTGGCCACCCGTGGGGATTTCCAGAGTGAGCTCACACATTTGCTCCCAGTTTCCTATCCAGCTGAGCCAGGCTGGGGGAGGACTGGTGGGGTCATCAGCGCCCGCTGGGAGTGTGCAGGCTAACCTCAGCGCATGGTGGCTAGGTTGGGGAGGTGCCCAGGCCAGGCCAGCTCTCGGGATAGAGGCCAGGAGGAGTTACCCCACCTGCCCCATCACTGGGGGAAAACAGGGGCTTTTCCCCGACAGCCCATAAAGTTACTGTTGCTTCCCTTTGGGAGTGAGATCTGAGTGTAAAGAAAAATTCATCCTCTCATCTTCGGGGAAGTGTTCACATTCCGTCATTGTGTAAACTTATGCAGGGACCCAGACACAAGTCATTTGTTTGCAGTTCAAAAGCTGCCGGAGGCATGTTGTGGGGGTGGGGTGCCAGGAGAGTGGTTGGAGCTAAGTGGGCAGTGCCAGGCAGGGACGCTGGCCAGGAGGGTAGGAGGACGGTAGGAGGGTGATGCCCAGCGTGGGGAGCCAAGGAGCGAGGCCCAGAAGCTGGCAGCCATGGTGGCCCATGAGGTAGTGGTCGGTAGGATGAGGGTCGCTTGTGGTCTGTGCTTCAGTCTCCTCAGCTGTACTGTGGGGTAGCAGTAGGCCACCAGGACCGGTTGCTGTGAGGATTCCAGGGGTGATGCATGGGAAGTCTTGGGCCCGGAGTCTGAGGTAGGAGCCATCGGGATAATGGCGTCATGCCTGGTGTTAGGAGCGTGTCTGTGTGCCCTTGGCACAGGCTCGTGACGATGACAGGGGCCTTGCCTCGTGGGCTGTTGGGAGGGCTAGCTAAGAGCATGTCGAAGAATAGCAGTGCTAGAATTACCCTGCAGAAGTGGCCTGGTCTGGGGTGGGGAGCCCTGCTCCGCGGATGCCGAGGGGACTGAGGGTGGGCTCGGACGTGGGAGTGGAGTCTCAGGCCAGGACGTGCTGGCTCCTCCCAGCCAGGGCTTCTCCCTGTCTGCCTGCATGTGTGTCATGATGCGGGGGTGAGGGGGTCATGGAGGCGGTGACCCTCAGCTCTGCTCCCTCTGGCCGGGCTCGCAGGGCCGGGAACAGGGTAAGCCTTTCAGAGCCTTGGGCATCCTCAGGTGGTCCTGCCCCTGATCCAGCAAGAAGCCTCTCTTCCCTCTCCAGATGGCCCTCGCCAGGTCAGGCCTGCAGGGTGGCCTGCAGAAGGCCTGGAAGAGGAGGTGGGGGACCCACTGTGGGAAGGGGCAGGAGCAGGACTTGGCATTGAAATAGGGCCTGAGCCCTTGCTCTCACCTTGTCAGCCACTGGTGATAGGTATGGACAGACAGCGTGAGAGACTGTTTGAGAAAGCCCTTTGATAAGCTGAGAAGGACTACCTAAGCGCCAGGTGATGTCATTTCTGCCTAGGGGACTAGGAGGAGCTCACAAGTCTCAGAGGCCCACACCTAAACTCTCCCCCAGCACCTTGGTCACCACCCCAGGGCCATATATTGGCCACTTTGCCTCACGAGTTACGGGGTGGCGGAGGGTACCCCCCCCCAACAATGGGACCTGGGACAGGTGACTTTTGACGTGTCTGAGCCTCAATTTCCCCACCTGTCAAATAGAGATCTGTTATCTCTGGGGCTCTTGGCTCAGATAGGCTAAGTGAGCAGTGAGTGGTCAACCAGGAATAAAAGAAGCCACCAATTAGTGGCCGTTGATTGTGCGCCAGGCCCTGTACATTCATAATCTCATGTCATCTTTGCTGGATCGGCAGGTTTGGGGGTACATCACCCCATTTCACAGCAGAGGAAACCGAGGCTCCAAAGTGGTAACTTGCCCAAAGTCTCCCAGCAGGTAAGTGGCCAAGCCAGGGTTTGAGTCCTCGCAGCCCTCCTCATTCCTCAGCGAGAGAATCTGTGCTGCCCTAAATGAGGCCGGGGGCTTCAGTGAGTAGGGATTTACAAAGCCCTACACCCCCAGTCTTAATGGCCTGGGTGGGCCCATGTCCAAGTGCCCTGAAGCCCAGTCCTCATTGGCGCTGGGGCCAGCCTCTTCTGGGGAAGCAGCAAGCTCCGGGGCAGGGTTCTGGGAAGTCAGGTTTATTAGCTCCTTAATGACTGTTTACAAGCTGAAAATTGTTTGCCTGGCATGATCCCTCCCAGCTGTGGGGCCAGCCTGGGCCTCCAGAAGCGAGGGGCACCCAGAGCCCCAGCCTGAGTGGACCAAGATGAGGGACCCAGGGCAGCGCAGGGCCTGACTCCTGGCTGAGTGACCCTGGCCTCTCCATAAGCTATGGTAAGGCTTTGTCCCTCAGCTGCGTGTGCACCCAGGGTGAGCCCCAGCTGATGGTGACAAAGCCACCCAGATTTTCGACTCCTGGGGGGCTACTTAGCATCCTTTAGCATAAACAGACTAGGGTCAGAGATGTTAAGTGGCTTGCCTAAGAGTTCACAGCATTTAGGGTTGGGCCCAAGACCTGTTTCCCTCAGCTGGACAGTGTTTTCACTGTCTAGAGCCAGGCCACAAGAGCCGGGTGGGAATTAGGGGGACCCCACCCTAGCAAGCCCAGGACAGAGCCCTGCTCTGTGTACTGAGTGTGGTCATGTCTGGAAACAGCCTGTCACCCCTCAGTGTCAGGGAGCTTCCAGCAGGAGTGAAGTGGGCCTCCCCTGCTCCCCAACCCCTAACCACCGAGCACGTGCCAGGCCTCTGCCAGCGCCAAGGACCAGTGAAAAAACCCAGTTCCCAGGGGCTGGCTCGGTTGGAAGAGCATGCGGCTCTTAATCTCAGGGTTGTGAGTTCCAGTCCCACGTTGGGTGCAGAGATTACCAAAATAAATAAATAAATAAGTAAACTTGGGAAAAACAACAACAAACAATTCCCAGTACCTCAAGATCTTGAGAGGCAAATCGTCTTGCATGTTTGGAACCAAGCCCCTGGCGTCAAGCTCAGGTCGACATGGTGTCCGGTGGCGCATTCTCCCTCTCCAGGAGCCCTCCTGTGCCCTGGTATCAGACCCAGAAAGGACCAGGGCCTTCTGGACCCCCAATGCCGCCCCTGACTCCTCCCCTTCACAGCAATGCTCAGGGGCAGCAGAACTGGGACAGAACATGTCTCCTTCCCAGAGGAGGCTGGGCTGTCGGGCAGGGCCGCCTGGGACCAGCCCCTGTGCTCCATTCCCTCTCTTGTCCCCAAGCTGCAGTTGGCCCCCAGGCTCTGGGAGCTGCTGCTTTCCTGGGGTGTGGGAGGGCACCTGCATCCCTGCTCAGCCGCTATCCCCTTGTGTGCTTCTACGGGCAGCTTCTGGAGTCCAGAAAGTTCCAGAGAGCCCTCGGGGAGGGCACCTAGGAGGGCAGGATCCAGCACTGTGCCCAGCTGGGGACATCTGGTGGCATTTAGTGCTGCCTGCCCCTGCATCCCAGCTCAGCCAGCTTCCTGGACCCAGGGCCCCCTCAGAGGATGGGGCATTCACGTCTCTGCCTGCCCCACTGGCGTGTGGTCCCAAGAAAGCCTGATGGGTGGGACAAAGTGGTGTTGGGGTCTGCACCCCTCCAAGAACTTGGCACCCCCCCATTCCACATGCTCCTACCCTGGGCCTGGAGCCCAGCACCCACTTCCCGTGTCTGTGGTCAGCGTGCCACCCAAGCCACCATAACTGGGTCACAGGGAGTCCAGAACCTGGGGTCTGGTGGGGAAAAGCCAGTGGGTCATCAAGCCCCTGAACCTGCTTCCCTCTCCCCATCCTTTATCTTCTGAACTGAGTTTGAGCAAAGCCTTTTAAGGTGTCGGGGATGGAGAAATAGGGGCTCTCCCTGCGGGAGAGGCGCAAACCCCCAGGTGCTTTCAGTTTTCCCCTCCACGGGGGCTGGCTGGGCCGAAGTGCAGCCTCCCAGCACGGCAGGGCCGCTGCGTCCGTGGACTTGCGTCTCTGGGGAAGTGGGCGCTCGCTGGGAGGGAAGGAGAGGAACGGGGCGACCCGTTGGCTTCTCTGACCCTGACCAGCAAGCGAGTTAGAGTTCGTAGCCTCCGGGGGGGACACTGTGTCCCCTTCCCTTTCTGTCTCTGCATTTTCTCTTCCTAAGTCCTGTCCCCAGACCCTCGGTGTCTGCTGGGCACTTTCCCTGCCCTTTGCTCCGGCCCCGCTTTTGGCAGAGCAGGGAGGTGTTGGGGTGAGTCACGGGCCATTGGGATGCCTGTCGCCTGTCGGGAGACCAGGTTAGATGACAGCCTTTACATAAGCTGCCCCTTCCGGGTCTCGAGGGAAGCTGGAGCAACTTCCCCGAGGTCAGCAGAACTCGGGGCTTTGCTGGGGTTTGCACAGTGGGCGAGGGCCAGCTTCCTCTCTGCAGCTTTCTAAAAACGCCCCAGTTCCCAGAAGGCTGTGGGGAGGGACCAGCCAGTTTCAGTTTCTGTGGCAGGGAAGCAGGGGAGAGAGGCCACTTCCTTGCGCCTGGCTGTCACCCCGTCATCCTGTGATTCATCAGGGGGCAGACAGGTTCCCAGCAGCCCTGGGCCGTCTTCCTTCCCTCCGCACTGCCCACTCACCCACAGCTCCAAGCCCGGGCCAGGGGGCAGTTTATTTCCTCGGTCCAGGGGACCTGTGCGCTCCACCCCCATCCCCGGGAGGTCCTGTTAATTTCCCGATCGAATCTAGTGGTTGGAGTGGTCTGCCTCTTTCCTCTGCTGGAGGGGAGGGTTGTTACCCCTTGTCCAAGGGTCCCTTCCTTCCCTTTGTTCCCAGTTCTGGCCCTAATGTCAGTAGCCTCCTGTTTCCGTCTGGAGCTGCACCTGCTGCTCACTCCCTGCCCTGGTTCACGAGGGTCCTCAGAGCCTGGGGATTGCAGAGACCCCATTGCCACTAGCAAGACCAGGGAAGCCTTCAGAAGCCTGCTGGTGGGCACTGGTGGCTGGCAGGTGGGGAGGGAGAGAAGGGACTGGAGCCAGACCCCTGGGGGCAGGTGGGGAGGGGACAGCTGGCCCATGCAGGCTTGAGGGGAGGCGTGCTCCCCCACCACCCTGCCTGGGCACGCCCAGGTAAAGCTCTGTCGGGGGACCTCTCTGGCCGAGGCCTTGCTTACCGTGGCTGTGTCTGTCAGGATAGGGCTTAGCTGGCAGTGCCCGGCCCCACCCTTTGTGGGGAAACCAGATTCTCTGGTGGCATCATTGAGCGCTTTCTGAGTCTGCCTTTGTGTCATATGTGCCTGATCCAGGCTGCTGTTAGCCAGGTTACACCACTGGAGGTGGGGGTACAGAAATGTCAACCCGTAGGATGATTTGAACGCTGCACTTCGCTTTTTCTTTGACTCTGCCCCACCCACACCCCATGATGGACCTCACCCTAAGTCCCCTTCCTTTACCCAGGCCCAGCTTCTCTGGGCTGGGGTGTAAGTCCCCACTGAGGTCGTGGGCAGGTGGCATTGGCCTTGCTGGGTGGGGCAGCCTCTCAGACCTTCCACACAAGCCCCCCACCCCTCCCCAGCCCACAGGCTGGGTGCTGCAGCAGCCGTGGGGTCTTAGAGCCGTGTATGTGACTGTGGGCCAGGAGGAAGCCTTGTCCCAGGATGTCACAATTTCCTCTGCGATGAGCAAGCATTTCTGGGGCATGAGAGATATGTGCTGGGCGGGGTGCTCCCAAAGCTCCAGTACTTTTTTCCGTCTGGGTTCCTCCATGCCCTAGACTTGGGTTCAGTGGCCCCCCGTACTGCCAACCCTACCCTCTGCCCCCGCCACCCCAAGGAAGGAACTGGGCTTCTGGTACACCTGCCCACCATTTCTGCACAAGTTGGGGGCAATCTCAGGAGCAGGCTCTCCCCTCCTTGGTGGAGAGGGGCTGTGAGAAAGTGGTGTTTTGTGCTAAACTGTGGGCCTCGTGGGTGTCAGAGCTGGGCCCTCACCTTGTCCCACTCCCCTGCTTAACGGAGAAGGAGACTGAGGCCAGGGGGTAAAGCTGGCTACAGGCCAGGACTCAGCATTGCCCACGAAGATGGTGAAAATAGCTCTCTTGGATACCGTGCTCCTCCCCAAGAAGCTGTGCCCCCAGCCCTGCCTCTGCTCTCCAGGGCCCAGCCACTTCTCCCTGTGGCCCCCAGAAGTGCCCTGGGGCCGGCCCCGTCTCCCCAATGTCAGGACGTTGGCACAGATGGCAGCAACACAGTGGGGGGCTCTGGGCTGGGGGGCCCAGCCAGGGTGCTATGGCTTTGGGATGGAAGGGCAGGCCAGGGGGCCCGGGCTGTGCTGTGGGGAGAGGGGAACAGGAGGTCCAGTGGGGGCTCGTCCTGGGACTGCATCTGCCGTCCTTGGGCCACAGCAGGGCAGAGGGCACTTTGTGGAGCCTTCCAGAGTGGGCCACTCCCTTCCTGAGCTGAGTGTAGGATTGGGGGGGATAGTTTTAGTCCAGGGTCCATGTGGACTGACAGTCTGCAACCATGCATATGCGCCCCCCTCGCCTCCCATCTTGTTAGCAATTAGTGGGAGCTGACTGTTCCAGACTCGGTGCTGCTTGGGTAGGGGACCCCTACACACAGGCAGGTGTCTGCAGTATGCTAGAGGAGGCAGGTGAGAAAGTGGTTGATTCTGTCTGGTGGTGACAGGGCAGACTTCCTGGAGGAGGTGACATTTTACCTGCCGTTGCCCAGGCAGATGAGGTGGAGGCCGGTGTGCCAGGTGCAAGGCCTCCAATGAGGAAGTGGGGGCCAGGGGACCTGCAGGGCATGTGTGTCTGCTGGGGGTGGAGTCAGGTTCTGAAGGGCACTGAGTGCTTCCTGTGGGAAAGTGTGATCAGCTTGGAGTTCCAGAAGGAGCCTACGTGCTTGGTGACCTCACCCAAGCTCGGACTCGGCAGCTTTACCCTCCCAGCCTCCCTCCACCGCCTGCCTCCCTCCCTTCTTGGTGCAGGACAGCACCTGCCTGGTGCCCTCTCACTGCACCCTGATCCCAAAGGAGACCAAACTGGAGAACTTTCCATCCAGGGGCCCCAGGGGAGGCTGTTGTCTTGGAGCTGCCCCCAGAGTAGAGGCAGGCCCATCTGCCTGTGATCTCTGAGGGGCCTTGTCACCTACTGCCGGTTTGCCCTGAGGTGCGAGGTCAGGACTCCCAACACTTTGGGATAGAAGGAAGGATGCCTGAGTCTGTTGGGCAAACCCTGAAGCAGAAAGCGTCCTGGGCCCCCAGCTCTGCCTCGGATCCCCCCTTGGGTGCCCCCTCCACAGCCGGAGTTCCTCTCTCCTGTGGCTGGAAGACTTTGCCGCCCCTGTGAAATCAGAGGGAGGGCACAGACCTACCCCCAGCCTCCGGTTTGCCCCCCCAGCAGCCCCCCAGGCCCCTCTGGGTAACCCCAGGCCTCTGAGGAACAGAGTTTGCAAAGTGCTCTTGAGTAAAACTAAGTTTCCCTCCAGACTGGACTCTACTCTGTCACCCTGATAGGGGGCTGTCCAGCCCCCAGTGTGCCCCCTAGCTTTGGTGGGGTGGGGGAAGGGGTGGCTCCCGTTTCCTGATGAGATCCATCTGCTCCCCTTCCGAGCTGTGTGAGCGTGAGCAAGTTCCTTAACCCCTCCCTCCATTCCCATCCACAAAATGGGAGCAATGGTAGATGTCTACTCTGAAAGGTGTTTTGAGGACAAAGTAGGTTAATGCACGTGAAGGGCCAGGCCTGGTGCACCTGAAGATGTGACCTGCCCTGCCCCCAGCAGCCTTCGGGGTTCTGCTCGAGGAGGGTCTGCTGCAGGGTTCCTCTGTGCAGGACTTCCTAACGAGGAATGCCACAGTTATTCACTCTTAAATGCTTACCTTTATGTTGTGTGGATTTGACCTCAATAAATTATTTAAAGAGCTAATACAACAACAAAGAAACACTTCTAAATCATTTGAACGCTGCCTTAAATATCTGCCTTACTCTATTCAAAAGGAAATCTTAATCAGGAGACAGCCAACACTTTGTTTTTAAGTTAAATGTTTCTCATGAAGTTATGTTAACACAGAAAAAAAAAAGTAGAGACCGTCCTGATTTGGGGTTCCCAGCCCAGAGTGGGGGTCTGCAGGTGGTTTTTTAGGTAAATGCTCTGAGGCTAGAGCCCCTGGCTGCCTGGCAGTCTGAGTGCCCAGCCTGTCACAAGGGGTCCTTACTCCGGATGGGGAGAACAGATCTCTTAATCCTTCACCCATGAAGCCGGTGGAATTATCCCCATTTTGTAGATGCAGAGACTGAGGTCAGGAAGATTGAAAGGGGCATTGTTCTGAACACGCCTGCTTGAGCCTGCCCTTCCTTCTCTATAGGCTGTGCGCACCAAGGGAGAGGCCCTGTTTGGCCTAGAAGCCTCTATTTTGGCATCTGTCCACCTCTTCACGGAGCTGAAGCTTGACCGACCCCAGAGCATCTGCATAGAGTGAGGGAAGGAATAGAACATGCTCTGAAGACCTCTGCAACGAGACCCCGGAAGCAGTGAGCTCAGTCCATACTCTGAAGGTAGGACGCTGGGTAGCCGGGCAGGCTGGACCCAAGGCACAAGCCGCTTTGCTTGCTTGTTTGTTTTCCATCCAGTATGTACCGATACTATACCTGTGGGCCAGTACTCCGCTGGAGGTGGAGATGCAGCAGTGAATAAGGCAGAGAGAAGAAGATGACCAGGGTGAAGCAATGGAGAGACTTGTAGCAGGAGCGGGGAAGCTGTTTTGGGCAGTCAGGGAGGGCTCCTTGGAGGAGGTGGCACCCAAGCTGGAACCAGAATGATAGGAAGGAGCTACCTGCTCCACTGTGTGATGATCTGATATGGGGATGGAGAGACGAACACAGGCAGAGGCCTAATGTTTATGGAGCACCTGCCTGAGACTTTTTTAACAGCTTCATGGAGCTATAATTCACATTTAATCCACATAAACTACATCCATTTAAAGCGTACAATTCAGTGGGTTTTGGTATATGCGCAGGTCTGTGCAACCAGCACCATGGGCAGCTTCAGAACGTTTCCATCACTTCAGAATGAGACCCACCCTTTAGCTGCTGTCCCCCCAACCCCCTGCCTGTCGCAGACTTCTGTAGGAATGGACTCCTAGAACATGTGGTCTTTTGTGTCTGGCTTCTTTCACTTTGCATAACATCCTTAAGGTTCAGCCACGCTGGACCCCACGTCAGCGTTTCACTCCTGTTTGTGACTGCCTCATAATCCCATCATGTGCATGGAACACAGTTTGTTTCTCCGTTGGTCTGTCGATGGGCCTTTGGGTTGTTGCCACCTTTTGGCTCTTATGACCATGCTACTGTGAACACTCTAGAACAAGTTTCTGTGTGCACACACTGCCCGACTGTGTATCATGCATGCTCTCATTTAATGCTCAGGGCACCTCTCTTGGGGGAGGTCTTTCCCCCGTTACAAGGTGAGGATGTGGGTGACTTGTGGTCAAGTACAGGTCAAGGCCAGACCACCCAGCTGCAGTGTGCTTTTGACCACGACCCCTCAGCACCTCCTGGCAGAGCTTAGCAGGTACTAGACAGTGAGCGGCCTGGAGTGTCCGAGTCAGGGGCAGGGAGGACACAGATCCACTCAGGGCCCAGGGGCCCCAGTGAGAAGCGTGGACATTAAGTGAGAACGGGGAATCCTGGGACAGTGTTGAGCAGAGAGTGACGTGGTGCGATTGGTGCTTTTTTTTTTTTTTTTTGACAAGAGAACAAGTCTACACCTTTATTTACTTCTCATTAAATTTAAATCCTTGAGGGGTACAGCATCACACGGATTCTGTGGCCAATGGCTTTAGCAGGAAGGTTGCTTCGGAATTTGGCACGAAGCGTGCCACTGTTTCCATGAGCACGAGTTACTTTTCCCCAGATTACTCTGGTTTTGTTTGGTTTGCCACCAGGAGTCACCGTGTTGTTCTTTGCTTTGTACACATAAGCACATCTCTTGCCTAGATAGAATTCCGTTTCATCTCGAGCATAAACACCTTCGATTTTAAGAAGAGCTGTGTGCTCCCTCTGGTTCCGGAGACCCCGCTTATAGCCAGCAAAAATGGCCTTGGACCACAGCCTTCCGGACGTTATTTGGCGTTATAGGAGTCCTGTTCCCAGCAGGCCTCCACAGACTCCAAGATGGCGGGAAAGCGGTTGGTGCTTTTAAAAGGTGATGTCTTTGCTGCGTGACAGATGGTCACGAGGGTGGGGGCTCGAGGGGCAGCAGGTGGAGTGGCCAGGAGACCGCTGTGATCCCTCAGGTGAGAGAGGTGGCTCTGGGGGGCCGGGGTGGAGGGGACGGATGGCCTCGGGCCACATGTGCCTGCCGTGTCACCCTTCCATCACACGTTGGCCCCGCTCGCCCTTACCTGGAGGGCTCCCGTGTGACTTGCCACGGGTCTACGCACACCCGGGGTCAGCACTGTGTCAGCAGACGGATGTGGAGTCCCTGGCCTTATGCTAGGGGAAGAGAAGCCGAACTCGCTCCAGCAGCTTTGGGAA